CACTTAATCTGAAATTTAATTTCAGATTTCCATTCTCTCTCCCCAAATTGATTTGGGGTTTAATTAATCTTGTCACCTAGGCAAATAAATGGCATTTACGTTTCACATCATCTGGACTACTTAAAAAAAGAAGAAGAAAAAGAAAAGAGACTAGAGAGAGAACTCAGAAATCATTCATTTCATAATAAGTTTTTACAACTAGAGATGTATTTATAATACTTAGGTAGACCAACATATCACTAAAGAACTAGTCTACTTAAAATAAGTAAAAGAAATACTATTACTAGTGTTTTATTACATTTGTGGACCCATTTGTCATTTATGTTGCCAAAACTATGTTGTTGTTATTTGCGAGCTGTGAAATGTGTTTGTTCCTTCTTCTTTGATAGATTTTCATAGTTGCTGATTGTCCTGCCATATTTATAGCCTATACTTCGCATCTAGATGGTACAATTTTCTCTTAAATAAGTAAATTGACACTTTACTCTTAGAATAGCCAAATTTAGTACATTGATTAACTCATTTATATATAATATTAAGGTAACTAATGGTAAGTAGAGATCAATTTTTTTTTCTACAATTACATTTAAACTTTTGAGAGAATTCCTGAGATGAATGAGAGCAAGAATTAATGTGTACCTTTACTGAAAATGAATATGTGACGCACACCCCATTCTAATGAAGCATACCAATTGGGTATTTCACCTCACTAGTAGGAATAGATATGATCTTGAAATTTCATAAATTTTGGTACTGTTCTATCTTTTATGGCGATTCTAAAGTGAATGACCTTAATTTGCCAACTGGATGTAATATGACATTAAAAAAAGGCAAACTAAAATAGTTTTTAAAACTTTCCATCCATATAGAAGAATAGTCTATCCGATTTTTTTTTTCTACATGTAAACATTCCTTAAGCATACCAAATTTACAGGTTTGACTTCAAGCTTGTAAGCATCAAACAAAAATATGGGGCATGGGAACTAGCAAGTATTTATATGGGTCGTCACTATAGATTTAGAGACAACAAGGCCAAGTAAAATCTCAGACTATAAAAGAGAAAAAAGATATATAAAAAACTTGTAATGCAAGTGAATTTATATCATTTATAGGTCAGTTATTTTGCTCTCCTCCTCCTACTAACTGGAAAAATAATAAAAAAATTTGAAAAAGAAGAGCTTTCTCACTCTGCCACCAGCTGTTCCAAGTGGTTGATGTATCATAACTCTAGCATTTGGCATACAAAATCTCTTTCCTTTAGTTCCAGCAGCGAGCAAAAAGGCACCCATTGATGCTGCAAGACCCAAGCAAACAGTAGAAACATCAGCTTTGCACAACTTCATGGCATCATATATCCCCATTCCTGTTAGTACATGCAAGAAAAATATTATGCCAATATTAGGATATACCCAGATCAAAACTAATGAAAATTTTACATAAATTAAAAAGCAAACTAATGGGTGCCATCAAAACTCCATCAGCTCAAAATAAAAAAGCCTCAGAAAAAGTAAAAAAAAATTCATTGTGAAGCTAAGAGTGATAATATGTGAATTCAATTTGAAAGTAAGGAGCCCTGCATTTAGGTCTTCCTAATTCAACTAGGAAAATGGTATATATGTAGCCTTTGGTAGTATAGAATCTAAACTGCATATTTAATTAAATAAGGATTTAACGTATTACATTTTGGTTTATGTTTTATGGTATGAAGCTATGATAAGAGGAATAATAGTTTGTATTCTGACCGAGGAAATTATGGTGATTTAGTTTTATACATGTCTTATCCATACATTTGGTCTGTAGGAATTGAGCAAGGGTGACTTGATGTTAAGGTCAATGAGCCTGTCAACCTAACCTAATTAATGTGGATAATTGCATTTTTAATTAAGAGTATTATTTCATTCCTCTAGACTTGTTGCATTTGGTCTATATATGTTTAGTTAAGCTTATATTCATAGATTGCTCAAAATGGAAAAGCTATAATATGATGTCTTCTGATTCTTTAATGTTCTTCACCTTGTCATGTGTGTATCTATAATGCCACACAATCATATAACATTCTCAACCGCCATGATCATAGTTCATGATTTTGACCTCATGATTGTGCAATATAGTAATACAATTCTAGGTCAAAAATCCCTTTAGCTGGAGACACCAATGTAACCAACTTTAAACTGACTGCCATTGAGAATGACAACCGTATGAACTACATCTCACTTTTGATAGGGCGTGTATCAATCGATGATGAGTTAGGTACCTTCTCGTTCTTGAGAATTATAGATGTATGAAGTACATAACGCTTCTTCCGCCAGGGAATATATTTTCCAATGGTGGGTTTACTCCATGATAGGCTAGTGTTAATAGGGATCCAAAGAATAAACCTAAATTATTTACCTTGTAATTTAAAATCTATGCCACTTTATGTTATGAGCCATGAAGATGATGAGGATATTCAAATGTTTTGGTCATATTTTTTGAAATCAAAGGATATGATAATTGTTACTATCACTCTACAATCTAATGTTATAATAATGATGACTACAATAAATGCCATATTTGTGTACATATACTTACAATGTTCAATGATTAGAATGCATACTGTGTTCACTATTATTTAATATATATATAATACCATAATTTGTTTATGATCATTTTCAAAAAAATCTCTAATGGAGTAGATTAGTTATTAAGAGAATTTTGTGTATAGTTGGTGGGAGCACCCTTCTTTATAAATATATAAATATGGTAGATGTACAATGTAGCTATAGATACTTATGGTTCAAATGTTGACACGTCTTAGAAGAAAAAACAGCAAACAACAATATAAAAACTCCAGTAAAACCAAAACAGTGGCTGGTTTTTTATTAAAACTTTAATAAGAACAAACAAGATGCAGGTGATCTACAATTTGAGAGGTAGATCGGCTTTCCTAATCAACCTACATGCTATTGGAAAGCCCTCAAAGAAAATAACTGCAACAAAAACCCACAAAACTCATCTATAACATGATCTAAACCCAAGATAACTCCCCCTTAAATAGCCCTAGCCGCCATAATACAAATAGAACATTCATAAACAATTAAACATAATTCAGGAAACCTTCCTAAACAATTTAATACTTCCTAAATAGTATAAACATAATTTAGAAAACCTTCCTAAATAATTAAACATGATTTAGGAAATCTTCCTAAACAATTAAACATGATTTAGAAAACCCTCCTAAACAATTAAATAATTCCTAAGTAGTATAAACATAATTTAGGAAACCTTTCTAAGCAATTAAACATGATTTAAGAAACCATCCTAAACAATATAAACATAATTAAGAAACATTTCTAAACAGTTTCCCCTTAATTATGAATCTTCTTAAGCAACTTCCCTTGATTAGGAACCTTCTAAATATCTACCTGATGAGGACATCGATCCAAAGTCCAAACATTTGTATAGCCGGAAGCATCACCAATCGGTGGCCACGATTCAGAGCTTATTTTTCTAGTTGTTTATGCATAAGCTCTTAATTGTAATTCCATTGTCAATCACTTTTAATTTTCTTAAGAAGCTCCTTCGCATGTGGTATCACATCACTACCCCTTGGACCCACAAGGTGACCCCCACCCCCCAAAAAAAACGTATCATGTGTTATTCTACAGTCTGTTGGATTCTTAGAATTTTGATGTTAATAAGGATAAATATTATAATGAGGACCGTATGATAATGTATTTGGATGTCATAGATGTAAAATTTATATTTTGCGATCATGTTGAATGAAAATATCAAAGTTTATAAGCTATTTTATAATTTGGATGATATTATATGAAAGCTATAATTAGCCTATTTTTATACTCATAATTGAGGATATTATCTGTTTTATTTCTTACTTTTTATATTCACCTAGTTTCCTATATATAGGCACTCTTCTCAATTGAAAAAAAAAAAGTTTTACACTCTTCAATGTTGTATCAAAACAAGGTTAATCCTAGCCCTAGAAACCATTCACCAACATCACATAAGCCCTTACACACTTGCTCGTTCACTGGCTTACGCATGACCCCCACTCCAATAGCTTGATTTTGAGTCTATTGGTTTCCTCATTCTTGATCCACGAGCACACCTGTGCCGCTACGTTCACTCTTCTGCTATCATGTTTCTCACATACACTCATAGTTGCATAGCTTGCGTTCATGATGCCCAAGTCTGCTTGCTTGTGCTACTTTGCTCCTATTCACTCAACATGCATCTTTACTCACAATCCATCACTTATGCTAGCATAAGCTAGCTCCCAAACTAGCACATGAGACCATTCTTGTAGTTTATCCAGTTGCGTCATCTCTCTTTTCCTAATTAGGTTTTTCCCTTCTAGGACTTTCACCCATTTCCATGATATGATTTATCTCTTAGATTAATTTTGCATCTCTCCCCATGGTGTAATTGCCCCTATATTGACTTTAATGGTAAAAATTATATTTTGTGGTTGACGGCTTTCTATGCTATTATTTGTTCTCAAGACAAACTTCAATATTGATGTTTCTCCTACGAATTTTGATGACACTATCAAATTTTCTAAATGACTATATTTTGATTATGCTATCCTCACTTGGTTAGTTAATAGCCTTTAACCATAAATTGCAACGATTGTCATGTTCCAAGGCTCTACAAAGAAAATGTAGACTTTCTTCCGTCACTATTTCTAGAAAAAATAATATTTCTTATGTCTACACCCTATATTATGAGACTTCTTTCCTTTAAAAACATAATTTATCTCTCCAAGAATACTTATGTACCTTACAAGGGGAGTGGGATGAACTTCTCCAATATAGGTCATTTTCCATGTATTCGATCATCTGGCAAAGATAAACTAAGAATTTTTTTTGTTGCTAGATGTTTATCCAAATACTAATTTTTTCCTCCAACATATTCAATCACAAATGATGGCTGAGTCTACCATTCCCGGCATATTGCCACTACTCTCTCACAAGTTCTTCAAGTTTTGTGCTCTTGCCTCCTTCTCAGCCAGTACATGGCCAATGTATCCCTCGACAAGGCATTATATTAGTTATGGTGGCTGAACTAATGACAGCAATGGCCGGAGGGGTAAATCATTTTCCTAATGCACTCATTATAAGCATGCTAATCATCCCTGAAAATTAGTGGCGGGCTAAGTTTGGTTATCCTTCATCTACTCGACCTTTATATAATTCTAACAATTTTTGCAACTTCCACCTCTAACACACACTTCTTCTAGATCAATCACTTGGTCTCAAGAGAATTATGACTTTCTCGTTTAATGCTCTTCGGCATGTATTTGCTTCTCATGTTAAATCCACACTAGTTCTACCGCAACTTCTTTTCTAGTACACATTTTGGATTCAAGAATCTATTGCATCTTCACCTATGACAAGTAATTGCCACTTGTTCTTTTCCCTTAACACGTCCTTTATCCCACCTATTCTCATTGTTGATGGTTCCCCTTCCCTTACGTAAAAAAAAAGCTTTATTTATCTCTCTAAGAGCTTAATCTCTCCCAGATGTATTATATTCCCCTAAACTTCCTATAAATTTACTTTCAATCCATTGACTTACTCGTACTCAAAGTTTCTTTGCAATGTATTATCATTCTCAATATGTTGTTCTATCTTAGTACAAAGAAGATGACTGCTGAAGGTGTTGAAATTGGTGGAATCTACTATATGAACCCTACAGTCTCAAGTCTTCCCTCCAACCATCACTCCATATAAATGGCATTTTTATTTGGGTCAAGCTCCACCAAAGCATCTTTGGGTGTTTGTTCCCACCTCCCTCTCAAATTTGATTGTAATGCTTTCGAGCTTGGTAAACTTCATCAAGTGCCTATTCCAACCTCCATGCCAAACCCTAGTAGTGTCCTCCATATATTTGGGGCCTAAGTAACATCTTTAACGATCTAGGTGTTAAATATTTTGTTACATTTTATTGATGATTAGTCTCATTTTAACTTGGGTTTATTTACTTAAGTGCTAATTCAATATTTTATTTGTATTTCACATCTTTTATCAAAAAATTAAAGTTCAATTTTCTACTATAACTAAAAATCTTCAAATTAATAATGCTTTAGAAATTATACAAACTCAGTTTAAATCATTTTGTGTTAATAATAAAATTATTCACCAGACCTCATATTCCTACACATCTTAATAGAATGGATTTATTGAGCGTAAGCATCATCATTTACTAAATGTAGCCTGGACATTGATGTTCCATACAAAAAAATCCACGTCAATTCTAGGTTGATAACGTGTTGGTTGTTTGCTATCTCATTGATTGGTTCCCTTCAATCGTTCTTGGGAATGACCCCCTTCTCCATCATGTATCCTGGACAATCCTCATTTC